AGCTTTGTTCAGCTGCTTTTAGATGGGTGCTGCAGGGTGTTTATCTGCCTGGGGCCCCTTGCAATGCTGCCTCCCTCGTTTTTGCTAATGCACTGGAAGATTCCTTTATAGTAGAGTGCCAGGCACCTGGTGTTTTTCTGAACTGGTTTCCACCAGTTCCCCACCCTCACTGAGGCACTCGGAGGTTCAGGTGTTGGTGTTTGCCTGCTCTACCACCTGGGCTTCAGGATCTCTTCCTGGTTGACAGTTGGAGGTTCTGACAGCTTACCTGGTGTTGGGCCAGAATCAGCAAGGCTCGGACTTTAGGAAGACTTTAGGTTGCTTTCTTCAGCTCTTTTCTGATGAATGCTTATCCATCTGGGGCCTTTTGTAGTGCTGCTTCACTTATTTTTGCTGAGGCACTGGGAGACTCATTTGCTAGGCTGCTGCACTGCTGCTCCCCGTCTTTCTTCTAGTTCAGGTGTTCCGGGTTTTTTTTCTGGGGTGATATTTTCTGGGTTTTCAGAGGTTGATAGGGGAGAGTGAGAGCGACTACCTTTTTACTCTGCCATCTTGGCTTCCAGAAGCAGAAGTCCAGGCCTTGTTCTGAATTGTTCTCCAGAATGGTTGGACTAGTTCACTACTCCACCAACATTTCATTAGTGTCTCTATTTTTCTCTCATCCCCTCCAGTAGTTGTCCTTTCTAATAGGTATGAGATGGTACCTCAGAATTGTTTTAATTTGCCTTTTTGTAATCAATAGTGATTTAGAGCATTTTTATATGAATATAAATACCTTTGATTTCTTCTGAAAACTGCTTAGTTATATCCTTTGACCATTTATAAGTTGAGGAGTGGTTTTTATTTTTTATACATTTGACTCAGCTTTTTTTTTTTTAAGCCAAAGACAAGGTTTATTAGAACATCCATCATATTGGCCAGATTCTTAAGGAATCTGAACATTACTGAGCTATTGGCTAGAAAGAATCTGAGCAGTAGTTAGATTTTAAGAATCTGAACCTTGATTCAGTTTTATACTCAGTATATATCAGAGAAACTTGCTGTAAAATTGTTTTGATCTTCATTGTCTGTGATATCTTTTAGCAAAATTTAATTTCCCTGATTATCTCTTTTAATTAGATCCATTTTTGCTTTTGGGCAGCTAGGTGGAACAGTGGAGAGAGAGCTGGGCCTAGAGTCAGGAAAACTCCTCTCCCTGAGTTCAGATCTGGCTTCAGACACTTACTAGTTTCTTTATTTTTCTTTGATCTCTTCGGGGTATAGACCTAGAAGTGACATTGCTAGGTCAAAGGGTGTGCACAGTTTTATAGCCCTTTGGGCATAGTTGCAAATTGCTCTGCAGAATGGTTGGATCAGTTCACAACTCCACCAACAATGCATTAGTGTACCTATTTTCCCTCATCCCCTTTAGCATTTGTCATTTCTTATAGGTGTAAGGTGGCACCTCAGAGTTGTTTTAAATTGAATTTCTTTAATCAATGATGATTTAGAACTTTTTTTTCATATAGCTGTATATTTTTTAATCTTCTAATTTATTAATGTATTTTTAACATTTTGAATTCCAAATTCCCTCCCTCCCTTCCAATGAGGAGGCAAACAATATGAAATCAATTGTATATGTGAAATCATGGAAAACATTTCCTTATTAGCCACATTTCCAAAAAAGCAAGGAAAATAAAGTGAAAAAAAATTTGCTTCAGTTTGCACTCAGAGTTCACTAGTTCTGTCTCTGGAGGTGGGCATTATTTTTCCTCCTGAGTCCTTTGGAATTGCCTTCAATCACTGCATTGATCAAAGCAGTGAAGTCTTTCATAGTTGATCATCATTGTAACATGGATGTTACTGTGTACAGTGATCTCCTGGTTTTTCTCACTTTACTTCAAGTATAGGTTCCTAGAGGTCTTGCCACATTTTCTGAAACTACCTCCCTCATTATTTCTTATATTATAATACTATTCCATCACAACCATCTGCCACAACTCGTTTGGTCATTCCCCAATTGATGAGCATTCCCTCACTTTCCAATTCTTTGCCACCACGAAAAGAGCTGCTATAAATCTTTTGTACGTATAGGTTCTTTCCTGTGTATCAGCTTCCCATATAGGAATGTAAACAGTTCAACTTTATTGAGTCTCTTATGATTTCTTTTTCATATTTAACTTTTCAAGCTTCTCTTGAGTCTTATGGCAACTAGGTGGTTCAGTGGATAGAGTTCGGGGCTTAAAGTCAAGAAGACTCCTCTTCCTGAGTTCAAATCTGACCTCAGACATTTACTATCTGTATGATCTTGGGCCCAAGTGACACTTAGCCCTGTTTGCCCCAGTTTCCTCATCTGTCAAATGAGCTAGAAAAGAAAATGGCAAATCACTCCAGTATCATTGCCAAGAAAATTCCAAATGGGGTCATGAAGAGTTTGACATGACTGAAAAGTAAATGTCAACTGAGTCTTGCCTTTGACTATAAAATTTTCTATTCAACTCTGGTCTTTCCATCAGGAATGCTTGAATGAATGCCTCTCATTAAATATCCCCCCCCTTTTTTTTCCCTCTCCTGAAGGATTATTCTCTTCTGGGTAGATTATTCTTGATTGTAATCCTAGCTCCTTTGACTTCTAGAATATTGTCTTCCAAGTTCTCCACTCCTTTAATGTGGAAGCTGCTAAATCTTGTGTGATCCTATCATTCTACAATTTCTGATTGCTTGCAATATCTTCTCCTTGATCTGGAACTCTGGAATTTGGCTATAATATTCCCTAGAAATTTTAATTTGGAGTTCTCTTTCAGGAGGTGATTGGTGGATTTTAAAAATTTATATTTTGCCCTCAGATCTAAATATTAGGTCAGTTTTCCTTGAAAATTTCATGATATATGATGTCTAGGCTCTTTTTTGTCATGTCTTTCAGGTAGTCCAATAATCCTTAAATTATTTCTTCTTGGTTTATTTTCCAAGTCAGTTGTTTTTCTGATGAGATATTTCACATTTTCTTCTATTTCTTTTCATTCTTTTGACTTTGTTTTATTGTTTCTTGTTGTCTCATGGAGTCATTAGCTTCCACTTACTCAATTCTAATTTTAACAAAATTATTTTCTTCAGTGAACTTTTGTACCTCTTTTTCCATTTGGCCAATTTTGCTTTCAAAGGAATTCTTTTCTTCAGTAAATTTTTGTGCTTCTTTTACCATTAGGCCAATTCTGTTTTTTAAGGTGTTATTTTCTTCAGTATTTTTTGTCCCTCTTTTACCAAGCTGTTAATTTTCTTGCATCACTCTCATTTCTCATCCCAATTTTTCCTCTACCACTCTTATCTTTTTCTTTAACTCTTCTGGGAATTCTTGTCAGACTTGTGCATTTTTCTTTGAGGCTTTGCTTGTAACTATTTCCATGTTGCCTTTTGTGTTTGTGTTTTGGTGTCTCTCTCTCTCTCTCTCTCTCTCTCTCTCTCACTCTCTCACTGCAGTGCCAGTAAAGGGTTCCCCTGTAATCTCTTTCTGACCACTTGTCCTACTCCCTTACTCTCTCTGGGCTGAGAGCTCCTGAAGCTGCTGCTGTCCTCTGGGGCCCCCTGCTGGTGCTGCCTCATTTTGCATTCTGGACCAGTCCCCACCCTGGTATCACAGATCTCTTCCGCTGACCTCAGTGATCTTGGGCTGGAAGGATGTCATATCCTGACCTTTTGTTGGCTCTGACACTCCAAAATTTTATTTGAGGAATATTTAAAGTTGTTTGGAGGGAAATGTTGGAAAAATTCTGCTGTTACTGTTTCTGCTCTGCCATCGTGGCTCTGCCTCCCCTGATTTCCTTTAAAATTTAACTCCTCCCACTTACCAGTGCCAGACTTTACCTTGTATTAATTTTGCGTCTACTTATGTGTGTTGTCTCTCTTGATAAAATGGAAGCTCCCTAAGGGCAGGCCATGTTGAACCACTTTGGTTTTTGTATGACTTGTGCCTAGCATAGGATTTGGCCCATAGTAGGGGCTTGATAAATGCTTGTGTATTGATTGATCAAAAACCTCTTGTCCACGTTATTATCCCTTCACCCTAGGTGGTACAGATGTTTTTGTGAAAAGAAGTTTAGAGGGCATTCCAATGAAAGAAAAAATGAGAGGAGATGTATTACAAGCATCAGGTCACACACATCTATTAGTAAGTCGATATCAGTTTTTGCATCCTGCCTTTACTGAGGTAATGGTTTCTGTGAGAGAGGAGAACTGTTCTTAAGTGGGGAGTATTATGAGTACTGAAGCTTTGGACAGTGACGGTTGTCTCCCTGTCCATTTCAAGGAAGTGATTTATGGAAATCACCTGCTACATACACCTGTGTCTCTTTCATGTGCCCAGAAAAAGCCTCAGAATTAGATTGGCAAAGCTGACGCAGTGGTCCATGGAGAGTAGCTCTTTCAACTGAGAAAGGATGGTTTAGACTCTGAATTTTAGAGGAAGTGTACTCAGCAGTGCCTTCCACCCACCTCCTGCCCTACTCAACACCGAAAGAAAACATGGGACTCTTGGAGGGCACCTAGAGCCCCCTGCTTCCATCTTGTGGTTTCTAACCCCTCTGGCCTCCTGAAGGCCCCAGCATGTGAAGAGAGAAAGGTATTATAGCTCTTCAAGGAAGAGCTTTAGAACACATAGAAGTGAAGGAAAAGAAGGAGAAACAGGTGTCTATGTGGCAGATCACATCGGTTTATTAGTTTGATGTCACTTCTCGCCAAGGCAGACTCCAACAGCAAATGTGCAATGAAACAAACCCTCAGAGATGAGCCCTGCCCTCAGGTGAAGTGGACGATGAGCAAAGCCAAAGTGTCTGCCCACGGGATCTCTGCTGCGGGGGTTTCAGGGGGGGGGTGGGGGAAGCTCCTGTGGACTGGATCAATGGCCCTGCTTTGTGTGGCCAGTGAAGGCATCCACTGCTCCAGGGGATCAGCAGAGCTGTGGCCACAGTGACCCAAGTCAGGGTTTTTCCCTTCTCATCTCATTGAACGACGAGTGGATGGTGTGTTCAGCAGCAGCAGGAGGGGGCACAGGTGGGTCTGCAGACCAAGGTTGTGTAGGAAGCTGGCTTGCAGCAGGAGACCTGGCAGGATGGGACTCCACAGGCCACAGGTTTGCAGCAGATGGGCACACATAGAGCAGGTTTGCAGCAGACGGGCGCACAGCAGGTGGACTGGCAGGGACTAGCCTGGTAGCGGGTAGACTGGCAGGGGCTGGACACACAGCATGAGGGGGAGCTGCTGCCAGCTCCACAGACTGCCTGGCAGCAGGTAGACTGGCAGGGACCAGCCTGGCAGCAGGTGGACTGGCAGGGACTAGGCTGGCAGCAGGTGGACTGGCAGGGACTAGCCTGGCAGCAGGTAGACTGCAGGGCTGGACCACACATGATGAGCTGCTGCTGCAGCTCCACAGACTGCCTGGCAGCAGGTAGACTGGCAGGGACCAGCCTGGCAGCAGGTGGACTGGCAGGGACCAGCCTGGCAGCAGGTGGACTGGCAGCAAGTGGACTGGCAGGGGCTGCCTCCACAGCATGAAGGGGAGCCGCTGCCAGCTCCACAGACTGCCTGGCAGCCGGTCACCACGGGGCACGCTGGGCGGCAGAGCAGGGCCACACAGGAGGCTGGGCGGCAGCAGGGACGCACACAGCAGAGGGGCTTGCAGCAGATGGACATGGAGCAGGCTGGCTGGCAGCCAGTGGAACAGCTGGTGTGGCACATGGTGTCGGGGGGGGAGGGATGTTGGGAGAGGAGCAGAGGAGGAGGGATGGTTTTGGACAGCTCCTTCCCCCTGACCAAGGCTTTTATATCCCCGCAGTCAGTTCCAGCAGCAGCGGTTTCTTCCTTCTTCTTGTTTTCTCCATGTTCCCTCCCAACACTTTATTACCCTGATGTAAAACTTCCTGTGAGTGGTGACTCAGATCTCCCAAACTGGCTTTTGAGGGTAATCTGTGCCTCCACTTCTCAGCCTTCATTTCCTGGGGAAAAGGGTATCTTGGTACAAGTATCTCCAGCATATTTGTGCACTGCTGGCAAGAACTGGGTGAACTCCCACAACTGAAAAGAATCCAAAGACAAATCTCATGGTCAGACCAAATGGCCACAGGTTTTTTTTTTCTTGTTTTCTCTCTCTCTCTCTCTCTCTCTCTCTCTCTCTCTCTCATCTCTCCTTCTTCCTCTCCTCCCCTCTTCTCTTCTCTCATCCTTCCTTTCTCTCTCTCCTCTTTCTTTCTTTCTTTCTTTCTTTCTTTCTTTCTTTCTTTCTTTCTTTCTTTCTTTCTTTCTTTCTTTCTTTCTTTCTTTCTTTCTTTCTTTCTCTCTGTCTGTCTTTCTGTCTGTCTGTCTTTCTGTTTTGGCTAGGAAATGGGGTTAAGTGACTTGCCAGGGTCACAAAGCTAGTAAATGTTATATGTCTGAGGCCAGATTTGGGCTCAGGCCCTCCTGACTTCAGGGCTGTTGCTTTATCCACTGCGCCACCTAGCTGCCCCCAAATGGCCACAGTTTTGAGACATCACCTGTCCACACTCAAACTGCCCCTAGTTCTCTTTTTTGAAACAAGCAACCTCTTCATTTTGTTTGTTTTTCAGTAATCAAATGTTTATTTTTTTCTCCTTCCCTCCTACCTCCCTCTTGCCCTTGAGAAAGAAAAAGAAAGAAAAGAGGGAAGGAAGAGAGAAACAGGCAGGCAGGCAGGAGGAACCCCTATGTTGTATAATTATAGCAAACAAAACAAATTTCCATGTTGGTCAAGTCCAAAAACATGTTTCTCATGGTTAGTCCATTCTTTCTCTGTCATTGTTCCTCACGAGCCCTCTGGGGCCATGTTTATTCATTTAGTTTGTCAGGATTCTCACACTTTTCTGAATTGTTTTTATTTACAATATTGACGCTACAGTATGAACTGTGCTCCTGGTTCTGCTCTCCTCTGTGTCACTTTGAAGCAGTCTTCCCAGGTCTCTTTGGAGCTATCTTTTTCTTTATTTCTTACAGCACAATAGTGTTCAGTCACATCCTAGGCCACAATTTGTTCAGCCATCCCCCAAATGAAAGCACCCCCTTAATGCCCAATTCTTTGCTGCCACAAAAAAACCCTACTATAAATGTCTTTATACACATAGGACTTTCTCCTCTTTCTTTGATCTCTTTGACTACGCCTGGCAGTGCTATCATTTGGTCAAGAGGCATGCACCGTTTAGTAACTTTGGGGGCATGATTCCAAATTGCTTCCCAGAATGCTTGTGTCCATAGACAGCTCCACTGAGCCTGGCATCAGTGTGCCTGTTTCCCCACAGACCCACCAGCAGTTGTCATTTTTCTTTTTTTTGTCATCTGTGCCCAAACTGATGAGTGTGAGGTGGAATGTCAGAGTTGCTTTAATTATTGTTCTCTGATAATTAGTGATTTGGAGCACTTTTGAAAATACGGCTACATATAGCCTGGGTTTCTTCCCTGGAGAGCTACCTGGACAGCAATATGAGAAAGGGGGTTGCCCTGGACTAGAGACATTTGAAGTGTGGCATATACTCATGCCTAGCTTCATACCCTTCTGGAGAGAGGAGAGATTTCTGAATTTCAGAAGTCCTTGATCCTGCCTTACCCCTACCCTTCCCTAATCTGTAGCACATGCTAGAATGGCCTTCTTTCTGCTTTGCAAAGGTGGAACAGATCTCAGATCATGCTCTCCATGCCACTGCTTACCTGAATCGTATTTATATTAGATACAAAACACACATGCCTCTTTTTAGGTGCAAATCCTTTTTTATTTATTTTATTTTTTATTTCTTTTTTCTTTTTCTTTTTTGCTTTTTCTGATGAGGCAGTTGGAGTTAAGTGACTTGTCCCAGGTCACATAGCTAGTAAGTTTCAAGTATCTGAGGCTGGATTTGAACTCAGGTTCTCCTGACTCCAAGGCCAGAGCTCTATCTACTGCACCACCTAGCTGCCCCTATTTCTTTTTTATAGTATTTTTCCCCGAGACAATTTTTAACATTTATTTTATGAGATTTTGAGTTCCAAATTTTTGTCCCTCCCTCCTCTTGCAAAAATGATAGGCAATTTGATGTAGGTTATATGTGTGCAATTATGTAAAACATATTTCCATATCAGTCACAGTTGTGAAAGAAGAAACAGATCAAAATGAAAAAAAAAATAAAGTAAGTGGAAAAAAGTATGCCTCAATCTGTATTCAGAGTCTATCAGTGCTTTCTTTCTCTGGAGGTGGAGAGCATTTTCCAGCATGAGTCCTTTGGGATTGCCTCAGATCATTGTACTGCTGAGAAGAGCTAAGTCATCCGCAGTTGATGATTGTTACAATGTTGATGTTGTTGTCTACAGCATCTCCTGGTTTTGCTTCCTTCACTCAGCATCAGTTCATTCAAGTCTTTCCAGGTTTTTATGAAGTCGGCCTGCTTGTCATTTCTTATTGCACAGGAGTATTCCATCACATTCGTATACCACACATTGTTCAGTAATTCCCCAGTTGATGGGCATCCCCTCCATTTCCAATATTTTGCCACCATGAAAAGGGCTATTATAAATATTATTGCCCATATAGGTCCTTCTCTGTTTTCTTTGATCTCTTTGGGATGCAGACCTAGTAGTGGTACTGCTGAATCAAAGGGTATGCACAGGTGTTCTGAGATCTAGTCTTCTTTCCAGTAAATGGTTCTGCCTTCTTCTATCAAGATGTGCACAAGAGTAACTAAGCTTTTCAGCTGGAAGTGAGATAAGATCTCAGCTAAAGCAAGGAGTTAGACAGAATCTGCTCCCAATATTCCCTAAGAGTGTAGGCAGTGGAAGTCAAGGCACCCAAGGGTCTGGCCTCCTGCATGTGTATGCAGCTGTGGTACTGTAGTCCACCCTCCAAAGTCCTTCCTAAAGTGAGTGATCTTTCCCTCCTATGAAAACCTATAGCACTTATGATACATGACTGTCTTGAGAACTGAGTCTTGGGAAGTGGGACTGTTAGGAAGAATAGAACAAAATCGAATTAGAGTCTGAATAAAAAATCTGGTTTCCATGATGGAAGACACAGAAAGGTGCAAAATTAGCTTCAAACCATGAAAAGTTTGTAATCAGCTAATCAGAGAAACCATTACAGCAAGTCTTTGAAAGGAGGACTGTAAATAAAAACAACAGGAAGATGGCTGAAGTATTTGTTGCTTTTATCCATACACGTCCAGGCATTTAGAAGCCTCAGAGTGGAAGGAGCTGTCCAAATAGAAGTCCCTCCTCTGCTCTGCTCCTCAGAGTCCTGCCCACCGGCCACACCACATGTCCCACAACCTGCTCCATGCTTGTCTGCTGCAAGCCCATCTGCTGTGTCTGTCCTTGCTGCTGCCCGGTTTCCTATGTGGCCCTGCTCTGCTGCCCAGCATGCCTGTTGTGACCAGCTGCCAGGCAGTCTGTGCTCCCTGTCCTGCCAGTTCAGCTGCTGCCAGGCTGGTCCCTGCAGCCCCACCTGCTGCATCCCTGCTTGCAGTGAGCCTGGGCTAGGCAAAAGAAATGTGTCTGGCCAGATGCATAATGACCTTCCTATGAGAGTGTGAAAGTCACTCCTGGGTGGCAGCTGGCCTCTTGACTGGTGCTGGGTTGGTGGATGCAGGGTAAGGGTTTTAAGACAAGGGGATCATGGCCTGGTGGGCAGGTGGATGGGAATGCCCATGGCAGAGTGTGGGTTGGGGAGGGGTGTGTCAGGGCATGGCTCTGCATGACCACAGTGAGGCGTGCGCATGGCAGGGTAGTCAGTTTGTGCACTGCCTCCTAAGGCCTCGTGGGCTCTGCAGGTTGCCTTGTGCTGGACGTATGCTTCTGCTTTCCCCAGTGGGCCAAGGATGTGGAAAAAGGGCGAGTGAGAGGCCAGGAAGGTGAGTGGATGCAGTTTATTGCCAGGCAGGCCCGTGGACAGGGCTATCCCCGCATACTTTGAGCCTAGAGAGAGTGTGAGAGCTGCAGGCAGTGCCAGGATGGCAGATGCTGATCTAGGTGCATGGGAAAGCAGGAGTCACGGCTGGGGTCAGCCATGGTTTGGAGGGGGCCCAGCATGAGCCTCGGAAGGGTGAGGAGTTCCGTATGGCTTGTTGTCTGTGGCCTGGTGGTCTCAATGCCTTTGGGGGGATGCCAGCCAGGTGTTCAGACTGATGTTGGGGGATGGATCCAGGAGGCCTACGGAAGTGGTACAGGGGTGGAGAGTCAGGGAGATAGAGCACCCTGTGGTCAACAGCAGGATTGTTGGCCACAGGTAGCAGTGCAGTAGGTGGGTTTGCAGCAGGTGGGCCGGCAGATGAGGGAGACAGAGGAGGCAGGGCGGCAGCAGGTGGAGGCTGGACAGCAGGAGGGTACACAGCAGCAGGAGGAGGAGGACGTGGTGGTGCGGCAGGAGGGTCTGCAGGAGAGAGGCACACAGCAGGCAGCTGGGCTGCACACAGGTCTGCAGATGAGGGACACAGAGGAGGCAGGGCGGCAGCAACTGGGCTGGCAGCAGGAGGAGGCTGGACAACAGGCTGTGGTCACACAGCAGCTGGGCTTGCAGCACACAGGCAGGGTGATGCAGCAGCTGGGCTTGCAGCACAGAGGGACACAGCAGCAGGACTGCACTGAGCAGGGGGAGGCAGAGCAGCTAGGGTCTTGGCAGCAGGACTGCTGGCAACCTGATGGTGAGCAGGAGGAGGTGCAGACAGACTGGCAGGGGCTGGGTTCGCAGGCTGTCTGGCAGGTGGTAGGCACACAGCAGACTGGGCAGCACAGCAGGGTCAGAGAGGAGGCTGGCGTGCAGCATGGGGCTGGGCAGCAGGAGGGCCCACAGCAGCTGGGTTCACAACAGCTCTCGGGGCAGTCGTCCAGCTGCCAGGAGGAGCCTGTGCACGAACCGGGCAGGCAGACGTTGCTGTCACAGCTCCTGTCACTGGAGCAGATGGAGACAGCTGAGGACATGGGAGCACAGGGCCCAGAAAAGCAGGTGTCTGCCATGGTGGGAGCAGCTGTGTTGGGTGCCTGGGGCAGCAAAGTGTGTGAGAGGGGTGTCAGTGAGGGGCTGAGTACCTGGTGCAGGGAGAGCTTGAGCCTCACTGGGATTGTGCTTGTGGGTGTGGGTCTGTGTGAGTGTGTGTGTAAGTGCAGCTGTGGGGTTGTGTGTGCAGGTGGTGTAGCCTGGTGGGCTTTTATATCCCTCCTGCAGGAGGATGACCCAAGGGGAGATTGAGCCTTCTTTCCTGTTGTTGTTTATGGCTGGCTGCTTCCCTCAGAGCCCATCATTAGGTGATGGTGAGATTGTCCAGGGGATGGCCAGTGACCCATAAACATTCTCAATTTGCTTTCCATTTCCACCCTTTAGTAAACATTTAGAATCCCTTACTCCTGGTCTGACACAGGGCTAAGTCCTGAGTATGCAGTGACAGAAGGGAAAGCTGATGGGCTCAGGGTCCCCTGAGGAAAGAGCTGGTTCTTCAAGACATCACTGCGGCAACATCCAGAGTGTAGGTGTCAAACACGTGGCTCCCAACAGCGGAAAGGATGGCAGAACCAGATTAAAATGTATTGGGGAATACCTAACAATGTGAATAAAAATATAGCCAGACATTGACAAAGTCCAGTTTTTAAAACTGATTGATATTCAACCATCAGGGATGCTCATGTAGTGGTTTGTGGCCCTCATTTCTTTTTAAATAGGAAACGCCCGGTCTAGAGGATAGATTGGAAAGAAGAAAGACTGGAGAGCACTTAGTAGGGCTACTCCACTCTTCTGGTGATGGTGCTGAAGCCCTATCTGGGTTAGTGGAAATACCGCTGTGGAAATGTGAACTGGAAAGAACATGTGAGTGCCAGAGAGAGAAAGACAGAGAAAGAGACCTGGAGAGACTGAGACACAGAGATACAAATACACACAGAGAGGCAGAGAGAAAGATAAAAACAGAGATAGAGAGACAGACAAATATAGAAATAGAGAAAGAGACACAGATCAAAACAGGGAGAAACAGAAGGAGGCATAGAGACAGAGAGACACATTGACAGAGAGATGAAGACAGAGGGGGAAATGGAGAGAGATGGGGAGGGAGAAAAGAGAGAGACAGAGACAGAGACAGAGAGACAAAGAATCCGAATTAACAGCGAGCCACCTAGAAGAGGCAGGAGCTGGGGTCACAGCCAGAGGTAGAACAATTGTCTCAGGAAAGCAGAGCTTCCTATTCTCGGTCTCCCCAGGCCAGGACTAGAGAGTGGATGCTGTAGCGGATGTCTGGGGGTAGCAGAGGAGGGAAAGAGAGAGCCCCAAGGCACAGCCTCTGTTTTCTGTGTCAAAGAGGAGGCAAGGTCTTCTCCTCAGAGGGAGGAGCTGGGGCTGCTGGAGGATGCTTGGCTAGAGGAGAAGGTTTGGAGCAGCCATGGTTGGGAGAAAGGGTGGTGACCAGAGATCAGCCAGGACATTGCCTCCCATCAAGGGGCTCCCAGCTGAGATCAGAGAAGACAAGTTGTTTATCCTGGCCAGGTGACTGTCTCCAGGGTCATTCTGAAGCACAGAATGGGAGCAGAGAAGGCTGATGGTTTGGGATTCTGCTGCTGGTCTGGAGTTTTCTTCAGGCTTTGAAGTCACAGTTAACTCTGTAGTGGGGTGCTTGTGGCTTTGCTTGGAGGGCTGTGGGGGCATTTGGGAAGAATGGGCAGTGGAGGTGGGGAGCCTGTGTAATGCAGAACATTATTTTTCCATTTAGATAGTAGGGCCCTTTAAGCCATGGAAAGCAAAAGTTGGTGCTTAATCTTGCCCCAGACCTCTTTCCTCCTAAATCTAAACAATAGTGAAATGTACTCTTGCATAGCTCAGCATAGCCCATACCTCCAACACAAATGGATAAGAAAGCTTGCAATATAATTGCTTTAGATAATTATGTTTATACCTGAGACCGGGACACCTGGTCTAGTTTGCATGATCTCTGACCTGTAATTATGGAGTGCTTGGGTGCTTGTGCTTGTACTTGTGCCCCAATTTCTCCCTAGTCTCAGAAACACTGTCTCTGACAACCACTCCCCAGCCCAAGGATACTGTGCCTAGCAGTTATTCATGCATGGGCCTCAGCATGACCCTTATCTGTCTCCCTGGTACAGCTACACAGAGCTGGGCTGCTGAGGCCCCAGCCCTCAGATCATGTCTCTGGAAGCCTCCCAATTCCTCAGTAAGTTCCTGTGTTGTGAGAAAGCTTTCCCTTGTTGCAGAGCATTCTTTAATCAAGACAGAGGGAGAGGAGTGTCCTTGGCCAGCCCAAGGACTCTTCCTCCTGCCAGACTCCAAATATCCACCCCCCTCCTTGTCCGGTATACTCCCTGTACTTTCCCATCCATAGCCCCCAAAGACACCTGCACCTTTGGATTACCTCATCAGTGTTCCTGGCCCTTCTTTCCCATGCTCTTTTCCATATAAGCCCTAGCTCAACCCCTGATCGGGGCTGCTTGATTTGGATGTGCATACCCCTTGCAGCCGCGCACTAATAAAATCCACATCTTAAATTACATCTGGGTCTCACTCGCTGATTTCTCGGTACAAGACCTGCCCAAGAGAAGCAGAGGTCCAGGTCCAGCAATCAGGTGCTCGTGTGTGGTTTTGTCTGGCCATGTCGTTCAAATGCAAAATGTTAGCTAACCAAAATGACTATTTTATGGAGAACTCACTCAAGTCAGGCACTCACATAGTGGTCAAAAGAAGCGATACAAGGACACTCTCAAGATCTCTCTAAAGAACTTTGGAACTGATTGTGTCACATGGGAGACACTGGCACAGGACCACCATGCATGGCATGATCTCATCAGAGATGCTGTGCTTTCAGCAGAAGAGAATTGAAGTGGCTGAAATTTAGAGAATCCTCCCTAATGTGGATGTGGACTATTTGTGTCCGACCTGTGCTAGAGCCTTCCAAGATCGTTTGGTCTCATCAGCCACACTTGGACACACTGTAACTTGACCCTAACAGAGTGAGGGCATTTTGTTCCTTCTTGAGAAGGAAGGAAAACAGCCAGTGGGAATATCTTGGCAGCTGGTGTCCCCTGGCACAACAGCCCCCACCCTCTGCAGACACACACATCCATGGTTGCACAAACACACAAATACACACACGCACACAGATACACACACAGACATACATACACACACACACACACACACACACACACACACATGCACAGGGACAGGCTTCCAGATGCCCAGGGCCTCTTCCTGCTCTCCTGATTGTGATCTACAGGATTCTATTACACTTCTCTTCTCTCTGGCTCTGAATGTATCAATGTATTACTCCAAGAAGCCCCCTGAGATATGACCTGTATTCTCTCCCACAAACCACAGGAGGGATGTAAACTTGCCCCCAGTAAAAGCTGGTTGTCCTCTCTAATTAGCTGGCGCACAAGGCAGTGTCCACTCAGGGGAACGTCCTGCCCATCCAGTCCACATTTATTAAGCATTTACTGTGTGCCAAGCACTGGAGAAATAACTAAAGAAAAAAAGACAGTCCCTATCCCTAAGAAGCTTGCAATCTAATTGGAGGAGAATAAAAATGTTGGGGCAGGAGGAGTGAAAAGTGGGGGCCGTTGGTGTGGTGGGGTCTTGTTCTGTGGGAGTGAAGCTTGTCAGAGCAGCAGGTTGAAGTCTGGGGGAGCTGGGAGCCCAGTGTCTGCCCTCTCCAAAGGCAGGCTCTGGCAGGAGTCTGACTCTGCCTCCTGCCCTCCAAACAGGGGACTCTAAAGCTCAAGAAATCCTTAAGGGTCCATTAGCCAAAACCCTTCCAGGCCCCTCTTGGGCCATGACATCTCTCACAGAAAAATATGACAAACTCCTACCTTGCCCTCTATGAACCCACCCCCCTCTGCACCATTCAGAGAACAGAGGCACTCAGTGATTTTTAGGCATGTCTCCTTTTAAATTTATTACATGCTTGTTTTTGTGGTTTCACTGGGGCAGGTGAAGCTGGAGTCACCACGAGGTACATTTTTTATTTTTGGTCTATGCGATGGGGTTAAGTGACTTGCTCAGGGTCACACAGCTAGTAAGTGTTATGTGTCTGAGGCAGGATTTGAACTCAGGTCCTCCTGAATCCAGGGCCAGTGCTTTATCTATTGCGCTGCCTAGCTGCCCCATTGGAGTCACCACGAGGCAGGAGGGAGGTTGTGGGAAGCCAGACCCTGGTGTCCCGGGACCTCCCCTTGAGGGAGCTCTGGAAGTGTCCCCGTGGGAATGGTGACTCTGTGCCATAATGGAGTCCGTGGGATGTGATGAGGCCCAGCTGATTTCTGACATCAGTGACCTAGCCTGGGTGTCATGGGTTGTGAGTCACAGCAGAACCATAGCTTCTCACCAGCCTGTGGGGTGTGAGTGAGGGCCCTGACCTCAGTGATCTGAGAAGTGGATGCTCCAGGCTCCTCTCAACTGAACTGGGACAGTGCATGCTCAGCAGCAGGAGGGGGTGCAGGAGGGTCCACATAGCAGGGAGGTGCAGGAGGCTGGCTGGCAGCAGGATGGGATGACATAGGTCACAGTCTTGTAGCATATGGGTACACAGATAGCAGGTTTATAGCAGACTGGTGTGCAGCAGGTGGACAGGCAAGGGCTATCCTGGGAGCAGGTGGTCTGACAGGGACCAGCCTGGCAGCAGGTGGACTGGCAGGGGCTGGACACACAGCATGAGGGGGAGCCGCTGCCAGCTCCACAGAGTGCCTGGCAGCCGGTCACCACGGTGCCCGCTGGGCGGCAGAGCAGGGCCACACAGGAGGCTGGGCGGCAGCAGGGACGCACACAGCAGATGGGCTTGCAGCAGACAGGCACGGAGCAGGCTGGCTGGCAGCCAGTGGAACAGCTGGTGTGACACATGGTGTCTGGGTTGAAAGGGATCTTGGGAGAGGAGCAGAGGAGAAGGGATGGCTTTGGACAGCTCCTTCCCCCTGACCAAGGCTTTTATACCCCTCTGCAGTGTGTGTGTGTGTGTGTGTGTGTGTGCTGTGTATTTGTGTGTGTGTTTCTGTGTATATTTGTGTGTATATTTGTGACAGTGTTTGTTTTTGTGGGTTTGTGCGTCTTTGTGGGTTTGCACATGTTTGTGTTTGTGTATATGTGCACATGCCACAGCAACAGAGTAGCTGTTTCCTTTCTCTCTTGTTTTTCCCACCCTTCCCATTCCCAAACAACTCATGAAGCTTCTGTACAGGTCCTTGCCCAGTGTTTCTTTGACACCTAGAAGTTTTCCTTGGGGACTTGAGCATAATGTGGGTGTTCTTAGAGGCCACCGTCCCCCTTGTTTAATTATGTCTGCCTACCAACTGGATCCTCCCCCTTCCTTCAAAGCCAGAGCCAAGCCTTTGGGAGAGTCCTTAAAGCAGGAAGCCCTCACCTTCCTGGGCTCATGGGGGATTCTTGGTCTCTGCAAGACCATCCAGACCCAAATATTTCCTAACCCTTTATTCAGTAACAAGGGAAGTGGAGTGTGAACTTCCAGGCTAAGAGGTTTGGACCTGGTCCTAATGAGTCACAGTGAGGTTTCAGAACTGCTGAGGAGTGGACTGACTCATGATCCCTGGGCCTGTGTGTCCTGTGGGCTAAGAGAATATAGTGGTCACTTGTTTGCTCCTGGTACAAACACCGCATTCCTTCAGGAGGGAGAGCTGGCACCAGGGGCATGGTTGTCTCCACCTCCGGCCCTAAATTAAAAAGTCCAACTTCTAGGCTTGGAGAGCCCAAGGCAAAGAGAGTCCAGGACCCAGCACTGGCCCCTGTGCTCATGAGGTGTCAGGGCCTCTGGTGGAAGATGCATTGCAAATGTTCCCAAGCTGTCCCCTTCCTACTTTTCCAGCCTTGTTCCCATTACTTCCTCAGTCCTGATCTCTTTCAGCCAGACTCCCCTGTTTGCTGTGCCTTGTACACACCATGCCATCTCCCACCACAGTGCCTTTGCCCAGACTGGACCCCAGGCCTGGAATGCTCTCCCTCCACCACCCCTCTGCCTCCCAGGGCCCCCAGCTTCCTCTGAGGTTGAGCTCCTGTGTCACCTTCCACATGGAGCCTCTCCTGATCCCTACAGATTCCTGCGCCCCGTGTTCCTCTGAAAAGACCTGCTATTTGCTTGTCCATCTTCATCCTGGGTCCTCTGGTAGGACACAGGCTCCCTGAAGACAGTCACTGTGTCACCCTTGTTCTCAACTCTTCCACCCCAGCACAATCCCAGGCAGACAGTAGACCTCCTAGACGTCTGTCAGGGCTTCTGGGGCTGCGGTGGTTCCTGTGTCCCATTGGATGGCAGCTGTAATCGCTGTTTATTTTATTTTAAACTTAAATTAAGAAAATTAAAAAGAAACAAAGAAATATTAAAACTAAAATAATACAAAATAAGGAAAGGAAGAAAACATTGCCATGTGCACAGCAGAACTTGAGAGGATTCAAAATACACAGCAATAAATTTCCATGTCAAGGAAGCCTATATCACAAATTCTGTGCATTGTGTTCAGAGCTGTCCATCTTTTCTTTGCTTCCTTGTAAGCTTTCTTTTGTTTTCTGCTGTGCAGTTTTTACTTTGTTCATTTCCCCCTCTTCTCCCCCGCCAAAGAAGGCTATGAGTAAGCTGCGATACACAGGTGCACACACACACACACACACACACACAGAGACATGCATATATACAAAGTCATTCGTATACCTGTATGTTCATCCACTTACTTAGACATCCACGTACTCAGATATCTGTAGTTATACACAGACATATACATTCAAATTCCTCTCTGAACGACCGTGCTACACTTACTTGTCCTGTTTCTCTGAGGATGCGTAACTTCCTTCCTAAGTGCATTACTTTCCATATTTTTCCATGGAAAACGTGTCATTTCCTACACCACAGCAATACTCCCCCCGTATACGGTCTAGTTGTTTTAAATAGTCCCAAACAGTGTTGATGAGTATGGCTGACACGTCGTGTACTTTCCCTGTTTTTCTGTTTTGATTAAATCTGTTTCCCCCGCTGAGTCTGAGGTCACAGTTACTGCCCCCGCTCTTTTTCCCCAGACCGATTCTGCTGCTGATCTTTGTGTTCTGTTCTCGTGTGTCTCATGCTTACTTACTTCTTTACTTAACTTCTTCTGGCTCTCCTGCCCTCCTGTTGCTTCACCTACCGCCCCCCCCCCAACGATCCCTCCCTTGTCGTCTCCTTCCCGTCGATCCAAACACCCTTTTATGCCCCTCTTTGACCTGTTCCCCGCCCCCTCACCTCTAAGGTGCACGGTCTCCCCACTCACTATCCCTTTGGAATTTTATTTCTTCCTAAATTTAGAAGACTTTTATACTCTTCTAGATATATATGTATTATTCCCTCTTGAACCCATTTCCATTGAATGTAGGGTTCCACAACTACCAGCCCTCGTCCCCCAAATAATTCCCCTGTGTTGTTTCTTGCTCTCACACCTCATTTGGATAAGATAATTACTCTTTTTAGCTGTTCCTAAATGGTTTTACTTTTAAAAATATCATATTTACATCTACGCCATCTTTCTTACAAACTATCTTAGACATACATTTTACATTTCCTCATAAAAAAGGTAACCAGGGGCATCTAGGTGGCACAGTGGATGAAGCACCTGGCCCTGGATTCAGGAGGACCTACATTCAAATCCGGCCTCAGACACATAATTCTTACTAGCTGTGTGACCCTGGGCAAGTCACTTAAACCCCATTGCCTAGCCAAAAAAAAAAAAAAAGAAAGGTAAACAATTTGTCCTTATTGACACCTTATACTTATCTTAGCTCTTGTATGTCAAATCTTCTATTAAGTTCAGGTTTTTAAAAATGAATTCCTGAAAATCTGATAATTCATACATAAAACATTTATTTTTTTGTTCAGGATTATGCTTAGCTTTGCTAGGCATGATATTTTTGGCCAGAACCCTAGTTCTTTTGTTCTTCAGTATAGAGTGTTTCATGATTTGCAGTCTTTGGATGTTGCTGCTGCTAGGTCTTGCGTGATTCTAATTGTGGCACCACCATATTTAAAATGTTTTTTTCTTGTTGCTCATGATATGTTATCCTGGAGCTAGGGGTTTCAGAATTTGATTATGATATTCCTGTGGGTTTTCCTCGTAGGATCTCTTTCAGGTGGTAATGGGTGGATTTTTTCTATTTCTACTTTTCCCTCTTATTCTAATGCTTCAGGACAATTTTCTTTAATTATTTCTTGTATCATTGTATTAAGATTCTTTTTCTGATCACAGCTTTCAGGTAGTCCAGTTGTTCTTATGTTTCCTCTTCTTGATCTGTTTTCCAGATCAGTTGTTTTTCTTATGAGATGTTTTGTGTACTCATCTATTTTTTCGTTCTTTATATTTTCTTTTTTTTATTTCTTGGTCTTCTATGACTTTGCTGGCTTCCTCTTGCCCAGTTCTCATTTTCTTTTTTAAAAAATTTTATTAATTTATTTTGGTTTATCAACAATCATCACTTCCATATGCTTTTGAGCTGAAATTTTTTCTCCCCCTTCCTCCCCCTCCCCCTCCCCAAGACCGTGCACAATCTGATATAGGCTTTACATTTACATTTCTATTAAACATATTTTCACATTAGTGAAGTTGTAAGTAAAAATTAAAACCAATAGGAGGAACCATCACAAAGATGAAGCAAAACTCAACAGAAGGTAAAAATAAGTGAGAGCGATTTGACTTCCATAGTTCTTTCTTTGGATGTGGACAGCATTTTCCATCCCCAGGCCTCTGGAGATGTCTTAGATCCTCATAATGCTGAGAAGGGTTCAGTTTAACAATATTAGTCATCGCATCACGTGGCTGTTATCGTGTACAAAGTCCTCTTGGTTCTGCTCACTTCACTCAGCGTCAGACTATATAGGTCTTTCCAGGTTTTTCTGAAGTCAGCCTGTTCATCATTTCTTATAGCACAATAGTACTCCATTGCATTCATTACCACAACTTGCTCAGCCATTCCCCAATTGATGGGCATCCTCTCAATTTCCAATTCTTTGCCACCACGAAAAGAGCTGCTATGAATATTTTTGTACATGTGGGTCCTTTTCCCATTTGTATGATCTTTTTGGGATATAGCCCTAGAAGCGCTATTGCTGAATCAAAGGGTATGCACATTTTTGTAGCCCTTTGGGCATAGTTCCAAATTGTTCTCCAAAATGGTTGGATCATTTCACAACTCCACCAACAATGTATTAGCGTTCCAATTTTCCCACATCTTCTCCAACATTTATCATTTTCCTGTTTTGTCATGTTGGCCAATCCGATAGGTGTGATGTGGTACATCAGAGTTGTTTTGTGATGTGGTACATCAGAGTTGTTTTGATTTGCATTTCTCTAATCAATAACGATTTAGAGCATTTTTTCCTATGACTATAGATGGCTTTAATTTCTTCATCTGAGACCTGTCTGCTCATATCCTTTGACCATTTATCAATTGGGGAATGGCTTGTGTTCTTATAAATTTGTCTTAATTCTCTATACATTTTAGAAATGAGGCCTTTAACAGAGAGACTGGTTGTAAAAACTCTTTCCCAATTTTCTACCTTCCTTCTAATCTTAGCTGCATTGGCTGTGTTTGTGCAAAAACTTTTCAATTTGATGTAATCAAAATTATCCATTTTGCTTTTCATAATGTTCTCTGTCTCCTGTTTGGTCATGAAATCTTCTGTTCTCCATAGATCTGATAGGTAAACTATTCCTTGTTCTCCCAATTTACTTATGGTATCAGCCTTTATATCTAAGTCCTGAACCCATTTTGACTTTATTTTGGTATATGGTGTGAGATTTGGGTCTATGCCTAGTTTCTGCCATACTCTTTTCCAGTTTTCCCAGCAGTTGTTTTTGAAAGAGTGGGGTTCTCATCCCAGAAGCTGGGGTCTTTGGGTTTATCAAATAATAGATTACTATAGTCATTGACTACTGTGTCTTGCATATTTAACCTATTCCACTGATCCACCTCCCTATTTCTTAGCCAGTACCAAGCAGTTTTGATGATTGCTGCTTTATAATACAATTTAAGATCTGGAATTGCTAGGCCACCTTCCCCTGAATTTCTTTTCATTAGTTCCTTTGATATTCTGGACCCTTTTTCCAAATGAATCTTGTTATTTTTTCTAACTCTATAAAGTTATTTCTTGGTAGTTTGATTGGTATGGCACTGAATAAGTAAATTAGCTTAGGTAGAATTGTCATTTTTATTATATTAGCTCAGCCTACCTATGAGCAACTGATGTTTTCCCAATTATTTAGATCTGACTTTATTCGTGTGAAAAGTGTTTTGTAATTGTGCTCATAGAGTTCCTGGGTTTGTTTTGGGAGGTAGACTCCTAAATATTTTATAATGTCTACAGCAAGTTTAAATGGGATTTCTCTTTCTATCTCTTGCTGTTGGGCTTTGTTGGTAATATATAGAAATGCTGATGATTTATGTGGGTTTATTTTATAGCCTGCAACTTTGCTAAAGTTGTTTATTGTTTCAAGTAGTTTTTTACTTGATTCTCTAGAATTCTTTACGTATATCATCGTGTCATCTGCAAAGAGTGATAGCTTTGTTTCTTCTTTGCCTATTCTAATGCCTTCAATTTCTTTTTCTTTTCTTATTGCTAAAGCTAACGTTTTCAGTACAATATTGAATAACAGTGGTGACAGTTCTTATTTTCGAGGAGTCATTTTCTTCCTTAAGATTTTGGATCTCCTTTTCTAATCGTTTGACTTTCTTTTCATAGTCTTCTAGTTTTTTTCGGATAATTCTTCTTCTTATTTTTTTTTTAGTTTTTACTCAATCTCTCTCATTTGATTTTAAAGTCTTTTTAAAGTTTTTTTGTGAATTCTTTTTCAGCAGGTGACCATTTGACGTTACTCTTTGGGGTAGAAGAGGGTTTCTTTGCTTCAATATCCTCCTCTGAAGACGAGCCCCATTCTTTTTCTATTGCCATAGTAATTCTCTATGGTTGGATTCTTTCTCCTTTGCCTGCGTAATTTTTTTTTTTATCTGTAGCAGCTTATTTTTTGTAATCTCTTCTAGCCATGGGTTATGGGGGATGATGCCTCTGGCCTCAGATCCTCTTTCAGTTCCCACCTCTGGCCTGGAACCAAAACCAAGACCTCCAGCCTCCTGGAGGTGCCCCCAGTGAGTGGCATCCCAGCCCCACTGCTTCTGCACTCACCAGGTGTGTGCTGATTCCTTCTCAGCCAGGGACAAGTCTCTGCAGCACAGTTGGGTCTGGTGTTACTTCTGAACAAATTCCCATGATCTTCCCTGGCTCTGATGGCAAACTCCTTACTGTCCGGGGGCCACTTGTTGTTTAAGAAGATCTAGGACCTGGCCTGGAGGTGGTCACTCTTCACAGGGACAAAGCCTTGTCCTGGGATTTTTCTTCAAATCTCCAGTTGTCCGAAGAGGACCCACATTCTGGCCCTACTCTTATTTATTTGTACCACTCTATACTCTATGAGGCACTATTTTATCTGGTTTGTGGGGAAAATATGGAGAGCTCAGAATTTTGTGACTTATTCCACCCTTTTCCCAGAATCCTCTTGGCTATTGTCAGGATTTCCTCAAACACACCAGCATCTGTATCTCTCCCATTTCTCTGTCTTTTTCCTTGCTCTGCTTTTGCTGAAGAAGGTCAACAAGCCTCATCTCTCTTCTGTCTGTTGGTCCCTCCACATCCATGCAGACACTTGTCAAGTCCTCCCTAAAAAGTGTGTGGCAAGACCCTCCTCCCTAGGTCCAACTTCCTCCCAGTTTAGGTCTCTTCCCTTCCTCTGGGGGACAGAAGCTTGGCAGTCTCATTAAACATGTGACCCTGAACAAAGACACCCACTGTCTCTTCCCTGGGCCAGGTGACAGGTGTAATGTCCATGCCATTGTTTAGGACACTGTCCCTTTCTCAAGACAGAGTCCTCCTACCTGGCAGGAAAAATGGGAGTCATCATGAGGACAGGGATAGGAGCCAAGTTTGTGTGTGTGAAGATACACGTGTGTTCATGTGGAGGTGTCGTTGTTCTTGTAGGCTGCATCCAAAGGGACTTGTCCCAAGGGGACATACTGCCCCTTTCCCCTTATGATCTCTTCTCTGTTTCTGCACAAAGAGAGTTTCTTTGGAACTTCTCATTACCCTGAGATGTCACTCAGGTCTAAGTCAGACCCAGTGTGGTTTGGGACTCTGTTGTCCTGGTGATGCTGACAGGGGGTTGTTTGGGCTTTGGTTGAGTAGAGGGTCACAGAGGCTGCTCAGATGCTGGGCATGCAGAGACTGCCTGCAAGGAGCAGCTCTCTAGGAGCGCTCCCATGTGCCATGACTGCTCTGGTGTGAGTCAGGCCCTGCATCATGGCCATTCTTGCATGAAGGCTTGGGTGTGCTGGCTCTGATCCAGGAGGAGTGAGGAGGCATCCAAGGGAAGAGAACATTTTCTGGCTGTGCTCATCACCCCAGTTAGCTGGTGCAGTGGTTGCACTCACACTGAGCTCCACAGGAGAGGTTGGAGCAGTGTGTGGGGAGTCATACCATGAACTAGACACAATGAAATGAAATTTGTGCAGCAGGGAAGAAGATCTAAGTCAAGAGAATAGTGCCGAGGAGTGAGGCTAATGGGTGTGAACACTGCACTGTGTGGGATGGGAGGAATGGGTCAGGACATGTCTGGTAATGACCATGCTGATGTGTGTGCATGGTGTGGTGGTCAGCCAATTGCTGTCTCGTGTGACATTCTGGCCTCCCCAGGAAGTCTTGTGTGGTATTTGTACCTCCTCCCCTTACTCTGTATTGTGGGCCCAGGATAAGGATGAGGACAAGGTAGGCCTGGCAGGTGAGGTGATGCAGTTTATTACAAGGTGGATCCCTGCACAGAGTTATACCCTGCACATTTTGAGCCTAGAGAGGCCCTGGGAGCTTCAGGCAGTCCTGGGATGATGCATGCTGAGCTAGGTGCATGTGGAAGCAGAAGCCATGGTGGGGGTCACCATAGGAGGAGATGCATGGGAGACCCACCTGGGGTGGGTGAAGTGCTCAGGAGTAGCTTGGTAACCTGAATGCCTCTGGAGATGTTGCTGCCCAGGTGTTCAGGCTGATGTTTGAGGCTGGAGCCAGGAGGCTGACAGAAGTTGGGGAGGGGGTGAGAGCAATAAGTGCCCTGTGGTCAGCAGCAGGATTTTTGGCCGCAGGTGGCAGTGCAGCAGGCGGCCTTGCAGCAGGTGGGCCGGCAGATGAGGGAGACAGAGGAGGCAGGGCGGCAGCTGGTGGAGGTTGGACAGCAGGAGGGGGCACAGCAGCAAGAGTAGGAGGATGTAGTGGTGCAGCAGGAGGGTCTGCAGGAGAGAGGCACACAGCAGGCAGCTGGGTTGCACACGGGCCTGCAGATGAGGGACACAGAGGAGGCAGGGTGGCAGCAGCTAGGCTGGCAGCAGGAGGAGGCTGGACAACAGGCTGTGGTCACACAGCAGCTGGGCTTGCAGCACAGAGGGACACAGTAGCAGGACTGCACTGAGCAGGGGGAGGCAGAGCAGCTAGGGTCTTGGCAGCAGGACTGCTGGTAACCTGATGGTGAGCAGGAGGAGGTGCAGACAGACTGGCAGGGGCTGGGTTCACAGGCTCTCTGGCAGGTGGCGGGCACACAGCAGACTGGGAGGCACAGCAGGGTCAGGCAGGAGGTTGGCGTGCAGCAGGGGTTTGGGCAGCAGGAGGGGCCACAGCAGCTGGGTTCACAACAGCTCTCAGGGCAGTCGTCCAGCTGCCAGGAGGAGCCTGTGCACGAACCGGGCAGGCAGACGTTGCTGTCACAGCTCCTGTCACTGGAGCAGATGGAGACAGCTGAGGACATGGGACCACAGGGCCCAGAAAAGCAGGTTTCTGCCATGGTGGAGCAGCTGTGTTGGGTGCCTGGGGCAGCAAAGAGTGTGAGAGGGGTGTCAGTGAGGGGCTGAGTGCCTGGTGCAGGGAGTACTTGAGCCTCACTGGGATTGTGCTTGTGGGTGTGGGTCTGTGTGAGTGTGTGTGTGTGTGAGTGCAGCTGTGGGACTGTGTGTGAAGATGGTGTATCCTGGTGGGCTTTTATATCCCTGCTTCAGGAGGATGTCCCAAGGGGAGATTGAGCCTTCTTCCTTGTTGTTGTTTATGGCTGGCTGCTTCCCTCAGAGCCCATCATTAAGTGATGGTGATATTGTCCAGGGGATGGCCAGCAACCCATAAACATCCTCAATTTGCTTTCCATTTGCACCCTTTAGGAAACATCTATGAAGCCCCTTCTGTTGGCCTGACACAGGGCTAAGTCCTGAGCATCCAGTGACAGAAGGGAAAGCTGGTGGGCTCAGGGTCCCTTGAGCAGAGACAAGCTCCTGGGGGGCTAAGTTCGGATGGGAACGCATTGATAGGCATGATCAGGCAGGCTTCTTGTACAGGGTCCAAGCTGGGAATGTCTGGAGGTGGATGGGAAGATGGGGGAGGGGCATTCTGAGCCTTCCCAGCAGCTTGGGTAGACAGGGAGTTTTGTGTTGGGAGACCAGCAGGCCCGTCTGGCCCAATGTAATATTGACACAAAGGAGTGTTGTCCAAGACATCAGGAGAGCAAGTGGAGAGCTTGGGCAGGGCTGTGAATGGCCAACGGCGTAATCATTTGTATTCTGTTTGATGGCAGATACTTGGGCATAAAGTGACCTGATCAGACCTGGGTATTCAGCTCTTCCCTGGGGCAGCGTCCAGAGTGGAGGTGCCAAACACATGGCTCCCAACAGCGTGAAGGATGGGAGAACCAGATTAAAATGTATTGGGGAATACCTAACAATGTGAATAAAAATACGGGTAGACATTGACAAAGTACACTTCTTAACACCAGCTGATATTCAATCCACGGGGATGCTCATGTAGTGGTTCGTGGTTCCCATTTCTTTTTGTGTGTGAAATCCCTGGTCTAGAGGGTGGATTGGAAAGAGGAAAGACTGGAGAGCACTTAATAGGGCTACTTCACTCTTCTGGTGGTCTTGCTGAAGCCCTTACCTGGGCTAGTGGAATTATGTTTGAAAAGCTGTAAACCAGAAAAAGCTTAGAGAGGGGGTGTGTGTGGTGGGGGACAGAAAGAGTCAGGACTGATGGTGATCCTCCTAGAAGAGGCAGGAGACAGGGTCACAGCCACCACTAGAACAATTGTCCTAGGAAAGCAGAGCTTCCCATTCTCAGTCTCCGCAGCCCCAGGGACAAGAGAGTGGATGCTGTAGTGTGTTTGGGGGGTTAGCAGAGGAGGGAAAGAGGGGAGTCCCAAGGCACAGCCTCTGTTTTCTGTTTCAAAGAGGAGGCAATGTATTCTCCTCACAGGGAGGAGCTGGGGCTTCTGGAGGATGCTTGGTGAGAGGAGAAGGTTTGGAGCAGCCATGGTTGGGGGAAAGGGAGGTGACCAGAGATCAGCCAGGACATTGCCTCCCATTAGGGGGCTCCCAGCTGGGTTCAGAGAAGAGAAATTGTTCAGGCCAGGTGTCTGTCTCCAGGGTCCTTCTGAAGCACAGCACAGGAGCAGAGAACGCTGATGGTTTGGGTTTCTGCTGCTGCTCTGGAATTTTCTTCAGGTTCTGAAGTCATAGTTGATTCTGGAGGGGGGCAGTTGGGGCTTTACTTGCAGGACTATGGGGGCCTTTGATGTGAATGGGCAGTGGAGGAGGGGAGGCTGCTTGTGAATGGCAGAAGTTCTTTTTAAAACCAAAGGAAGAGGCCAATGATCTCAAGATTGATTATAGGGATTAGTTTAATCAATTGTTATGAATACTTACAAGCAGGGGCAATCTTTGTTCTGGGGGCAGCGACCAGAGAGTTTAGTGGATCCCCTCAAAAGAACCCCCCCAAATCCCTGTGATTATTATAGAAAACAGATAAAGGGAGGAGGAGGTAGACAGTGTAGCATCCCTGATTGGTGAATAGTTTTGGTTTTCTCTTAGTAATGAACTTGTGTGGTAAGCCAATGTTGTGGCCAAACATAACTTTGTATTGATCATGTCCTGGTCACATATAAGTCACCATATTATTGTTTTGGCTTTCTTAGGTCGTAGTGTTAAGAGATAGTGTTAAGTTATGACTGAGCATCTCAAATATAATAATTTAGTATCTAAGTTACAGTTTGTAAACAGGTTACCATGTTTGGACTTCCAAAACTTTCATAGAGTTTGAGTTTCTATGGCTTTTTACTTGTTACTATATTTTATGGACACAAAAGTCACACACACATGCATGCACACACACAGACACACTTGCACGCATGCATACACACACACTCATGCACTCAGACACATGCACACACAGACACACACACACACACACACACACACACAGAGGCACACAGCTGCCCAGGGCTCCTCACTGCTCTTCTGCTCATGACCTGCAGGATTCTCTTACTCTACAATTGTCTCTGGGTTTGACTGTACTAACATGACTGGGTGTTGTGTCATGGGCCAAGGAATGCCCACACACCATATGCCAGCAACTGGACCTTTTCTGCAACAGGAACCCTACAGTCCACTGCAGAAAAGCCATCCATACGTTCTTTCTGAACATCTTCCACAGCATCCCTGTGGCTGCACTATTCTAGGGTGGTTAGGGCCTCTTTGGGTCCAGCCAGCATGATCTCATTTCTAAGCATAAACCAGTAAACAATATAAGCACAGGGAGGAAAACACCATGGCCAATGAGAAAATTCCCACACTTGTATGATTTCCTTCCAGCCCAGCCCTGGGGAGGTGAAGGAAGAACCAAGGGCATTTGGGGCTAGTGAGTGAGCTGAATTTCTGACCTTAACCTAGCACTGGCCAGCTGAGTTTGTCAACTAGGCTCAGACCAGTAAACATGGCTTGGAAAGTTTTACAACATACTGGGAGTGACAGAGACTAGGATCAATTACAGAATGGGATCAGAACAATTTGATTTTCTCAATTTCCCCCTTTTTGTGACGGGGAGACTAGTACAGTGATGACCATCAACCCACGTCCAATGTCCACCTAATTAACACATTTTATCTTGGAATCCAGACACCCCACTTAGTTGTCTGGTCCCTGGAACATCTTATCTTGGGGTCATCTGGAAAATGTCTTGTCCTCAGGAGCAGGTCTTCAGTAGAATTGTTTTTCTGGTTCCAGGTTCCTTGTAGAGACTCCTTAGATGTTCCTGCTAAAATCTTTTATAAAACAGATCTCAGTACAAGTTAATATACTCTTTCAAATTTCACTTCTCCAGTAATTAGCTCATATTGTGAAGACCAGCTGAAGCTTTAGAGTTCTAGTCTTAACAATAGAGCTATCAGGGGGAACATTAAAGTAGGAACTCAGAGTTTGCTTGAGGCTTTAGAAAATTTCATTTTTTTTTTTTTTACAAACAACATTATACTCATTTACACTTGACAGTGCAGGATTGTCTGGTCTTGTTACTTTCTCAAACTTTTCCACTCTGATTCCAATTCCATGAGAAGGAGCAGATGCTATTGAGGATGCAATCCTGGATGTCAAAACACAAGTAAAAACATTCTTGCAGGGAGAAGCTTTTCACCCCTGAGTTCGATAGTTATATAAATGAACTTACTTATAAGAAGCTGACTTTCCTCCAATTATATTAAAATATTTGGGAGAATATTTAAATAATTAATTCCAAAACAGTGCCTGTCAGTTAAGATGTTTATAATGAAACATATATGTACTATAGGATGCACAGTACAAACAGGTGTTATTTCCACATTAGTAAGAAACTTGAATGAAATTGACTTTTCCATTAATGTAAAAACATTCCTTCTAAGAAAATTGATTTCATTGAAATTCTCTTCCCCAAACCAAACTGAAGGTGTTTCTGATTTAATTTCAGTAATTAATAGAATAACAGCCATGTCCTTCAATCTGTTGCACCAATACTCAATTATTCTTACATCATTTCGAAACATTTAAGGTCCTTTCTTTATCTTTGCCTAATTATTCCTGTATTATTCTGAAAGAATAAGCTACTTCAGGAATTTAATCCTTCACCTGACTATGCAGACAGCAGATAACAAACCCGAGAACTAATTTACCTAGGTTTTCAGGATACAAAATGACTACACATTCAGATGGAGAACATCAAGGTCTCCCATACTTGCATTGTGCTCATAACGCTCACTGATTACTTACTCTGATTGTAAAAATTTGTTATAAAAGGACAAAGCTGGGAACAGATTATAGCAGCATCACACTGGTCCTTCAGCCTTAAGCATAGGGGCACATACATGACAGGATGAAGCAGTCTTAGCTGTGTTGGAGTTTGGAGAAGAGTCACAGTTTGGCCACCAACCATGCAGTGATAATTCCACCTCATAGCCAGACTTAGGAATAGCCAGGTGGGAAACATTCCTTTTCAAAGGGATACAATGGGGAAACTGAGGCAGGAGGCTCCCACCTTAGGCTGATGCCAGGTTGTCCTCTTGGCTTTTCCCAGATGCAACCCTCCGCCTGTAACAGTTCAGGATCACATTTCCTCTGAGTAGCTGGTGGCATTCCTCCCAAATGATTATTGACTATGATCCATCCGATAAGTGAACCTGAATTCAAAACTCAAACCTCAAAAGAAAATCTGTTTCGTTATGAAGAGCTCTGACCTCAAAAGACAAGTTTCATTAATCACAGCTTAGGGCTAGATACAATTATTTTTACTCTCATGGAGTTGCAATAAGCAATAAAAATTTATCAAGACTCATACATAAGAAATTTCACTTAACATTTCCCCTTTTTCCTTTCCTTCTCAAATTTAAATTCTTCCTCGTGTAAAAATCAATCATTCTAAAACATTTCTATATTGTATAGAAACTTGCAAATTCTCAACAAGCCAAGTTCATTGTTTAGTAACTCCATAGTCCAAACATGC